CACGCACATGTTACATGCCACATATAGTTAGACACGTACATGTTATAAGTGCCAAATATTTTGTTAGCGATCACTGAGTGTTATTGGTTGTAACTTTCAGCACTCGTTTTACAGAACAACAGCCATGTCAGAAAAAAATACTTTTAGGTGAAACGAACAACGCTAGTCCAGACAGACTTGAGATGATGACAACCACTCCTCTAGTGGAAATTAGCTGGTTGTTGCATGCACACTGCCTTTTCTGAAGGTACCAATGCGTAATGTTATCTACCAGGTGGGATTCTTGTCATCTGGGTATATCATAAACTGGCCATTTTAGACGCTGGGGAGCGCCTATCTCGGGATCATCGGACCGGTTTCGGCGACCTTGCCGATCACGCTCCACTCACGTGATCTCGTTCGGCTTATAGGGTGGTCAGGAGACGCGAAGCCAAACGATTTTTATTCGAACATAGGACGTGCTACAAAGAAAAACTCAAATCACGTATAAATATTCAGCAAACTGGTGATTTCTTTAACCCGCGCCCCACTGGGGTCTGCGTATAACACGCCCTACTGGGGGGGGGGGGCTATTCATAGCCCCCCTCCTAACTCCGAAACTACTGGGCCGATCGTCAAAATTCAAGCGGCGTCTGATAGCCCCGGAAAACCTGTCGAACGAAATCTAATTTCATTGACCTCGAGGTCACCGATGACGTCACAGGTCAGGTCAAAGTAAAAATTATTGGCATTTTGGCTTCTTCACGTTTTGGGCTCTGGCCGCCGTCTTACAAGTCAGATCAGGCTCATTTTTGGTTCACACACTCGTGAACAGATGCTCTAGATACCCTGAGGGTACCAAACTTGTACTTTGATTTTCAGGTCAAGGTCAAGTCATCACAGGTCACGAAAATATTATATCATGCGTTGGTCACGTGACACATGATTTATGGTCCGTTTAGGCCAAAAATTTCGAATTTGATGTCGTCTGTGTCATTCGAGGTCATTTGGAGTCAAATTTAGCTTAGGTCAGGTCACTTTCAGGTCAAAAAAGGTCAAATTTTGAAGTTAAAATTTTTCAACAAAAAGGTGTCTATTGGATGCAGTTTGAGCTCAGGAACACGATGGTGCTATTTATATTGGCGTACGAAGTCAAATACGTGCTAAAAATTGATTTGAAAAATTAATAATTGTGAAGTTTTTGCAATAATGCGTATAACTTGGCCATTTTTGAAGATATTCAGCTTAACCTTGCTAGAGCTAGTCATAATAACGCGTTCTATCACATATAGTTATTCCGTTTTTTTCGAAAATACAAAAACTTTTTGGAAAAAATGTAAAAATATAAATTTTGAATTTTATTATATTAAATTTTCGAAATTTTCACAATTTCGAAAATTCGAGATAACAGTTTGATAGCGCAGTCTATTCTGAGTCCTCTCATGCAAACAAACTGGATCTAGCTTAAAAACTGAGCTCTTGGGAGCGATTGCCGTGGTTCAATGTTTTGCGTCGAAATCGGCCGAACATGACGTCACTCTGACGTCATTTCCGGCCGACCTATGGTAGGTACGAAGCTCAAATTTTGACACAAGGTGTCGAATTGATGCAGCCGAAGGTACTGAAAGTTTGGCGTCGATACGTCAAGCGGTTTGGAAGTTATTGCAGAAAAACGGGAGGGGGGCTATAAATAGCCCCCCCCCCCCAGTGGGGCGCGGGTTAGATATTATTTATACCTAGTCGTTAAGGATCAGCATCGTTAGACTAAGACCGTGTTGAATTTCTTGCCTTTTAAGCATACCATGTGAGCAAGAATAGGAAATTTATACGAGTAGGTACTCATAAATCACCTTATTTAGGCCAACTTGTAATGCCACCTCAAGACGTTTTGCTGCGAATGCTCAAAGCGCGCGTTATCGACAGAGGGCTGAAATTGGGTATCCAATTATTTGAGAAAAAAAATAAATCAAATCAAATGTGTAAACTTATTACATGAATCCAAGACGCCTTCTGACCATGCTACCAACTAGAGTGGATTTCACATGACCTTGACCTGAGGTCATTCCCCGAGTTAACCTTTGTAAAATACAAAGTCTGTGTTTCGATATTCGATGGGTTTGGACAAGACAAACATGATGCTTGATGGTGCCAAAATCTTTATTCCACTATCAGTTTGGTATTAGCTGGACCAAAGCTGGTACGGCTCTCGCGAGATTAAGCGGTAGGTTTTGCACTTTTACATTTCTGGTTATATCTCAGAAACTAATCGATCTACGATAAAGCCATTTTACACGATCGAGGCCGGCTTGTGAACTAATAAGTCGATCGCATCTTCAACACTTAACCCTCGCCCATGTAGGGGGGGGGGGGGGTTGGTGCACCCCCCCCCCGAGGTTTTTCTGAGCTACACGCCGAACCGTTTCAGATAGCCTGCTCAAATTTTCAGTACCCTCTGGGGCATCCTTTGCGCAACTTTTGGTTTTTTTGTCAAGGTCATGTCAGGTCACGGAGTTATGACTTCATAAAGGGAACAACCTTCGGCCAGATTTACGCTAAATTGGAGATTGCTTCACATTGTTATTGCCGACTGACCTGACACACTGATGGATTGTTTTAGAATCACAACTGGCTGATTTGACATTGGTACAATGTCCGTTGACATTTTGAAGGTTACTAAAGGTCAAGGTAAAGTCAATGACCTCGGTTGACCTGTAATGACCTCTTGCACTTTTATGCCTTTTCGGGGTATTTTGATGCCCTTAATTCGAATTTACTATCCATTTCAGGCATCGTCGGTTGTTTCTTGTAGTTCATTTTGGGTCAGGGTCAGGTCAGTGACGTCACACGCCTGACGTGACCCAATGCAAAAATGACCTTGCAGACTTCCGATGCTCCCAACGCATCATTTTTAGAGTTATGGCATCGGAATACACACTAAACGATAGAGAATTGATCGAGGATCACGATAGTGAATGTTTCAAGTCGATATCTCTTACCATTTTGCCGCAATCGGCGCGGAAATCTGAAAAAGTTAGATTTTTCCGAAAATTTGACCTTTGACGGGTCATAAGTAGGTCAAATGTTGACCTAGGATCAAAAAATATACCACCAATCGCGAGATCCCGTTGAGGGCAATCCGTTGGTCTTTTCCGCTAAGCTCTACGACGCTCCGTTTTCAAACGCCAGGGGGTCACACCAACCCCCCCCCCCCTGCATGGGCGAAGGTGGCAAAACACCGGTTACGGGCGAGGGTTAACCCGCGCCCCACTGGGCTATTCAGCCATACGCGCCCTGCTGGGGGGGGGGGGGCAGATTCTGCCCCCTGTCTAACTTCCGAACCGATGGTCATAGAAAGACGGGGAAAACGGTAATCGAAAGCTCTCAACAAGACGGATCTTAAGAGTTTAAAATTTTTGCTTAAGTAGGTCAGAGGTCAGGTCAAGGTCAGGTCAAGGGTACAAAATGCAAGTTTCTACAGTTTCGGCCTTGCACCGTAGTTGCCGAAAAATGGACTAAGACTGATTGCCCAAAACGTGTTTTTAGGCTACCAAGACAATATTCGCTGCATACAATGCCATGCAAAGGTCAAGGTCAAGGTCAGGTCCGGTCACCAAAAACGAAATATAGAAAAGGACATGTGCGACACATGTTTTATGGGTCATTTTATTCATAGAATTCAATAGGCACAATCAATAATTGATGTGGACCACATCTGGATGAATTTCAGGTCGAGGTCAAGGTCAGGTCAAGTGAGGTCAAATTTTGAAGTTGGTTGTTAAGGCCTAAAAAGGTGTCTATCTGATGCAGTTTTTCACGGCAAATCGAATGGTGCTATTTTTGTTTCCGTACGAGGCCTAGAACTTCCAAAAAAAAATCATTTAAAAAAATTGTGTGTCGTGACGTCATAAAATTTTGAATAACTCCCACATTTTTGAACTGATTTTTCTAAAAATTGATATGCAGCTGCACGTGCACATGGACCACTTCTCTGACATGCATTAGTTTTTTCGATACACTCAAAATTTTGGATTTTACAATTATTTTCCCAAAAAAGTCAGTTAAAAAATGGGTCAAAATCCAAACTTTTCACACAAAAAAACGAGACGGCCATTTAATAGACAAAGTAGAATCACGTATGTACCTATAACCTTTTTTTGTTCCGTCTTGATTCCTTTAAAAATGAAGATGTTAGCGGCGTTTGAAATTTTGCCGTTTTTGAGGCGAAAATGGCGGACATGACGTCATTAAACGTCATTTTCTAAAAAACAAAATCCGACGGATTTCGCTCAAATTTTCGGGAAACGTCTTAAATTCATGTATGATAAGGCACTGAAAGTTTGACGTCGTTGGCGTAACGCGTTTAGAAGTTATTGGCGAAAAACGGAAGGGAGGCAGATTGTGCCCCCCTCCCCCCAGCGGGGCGCGGGTTAAAAGCGACGACGGATATATAGTAGCCTGAAGTACACCAAATTTTCTAGGTGCAAAACCTACCGCTAAAGCCCGCAAGACCTGTACATGAGGCATTTGAACTGACCCCAATAGCTCGCTGATCGATCTTAGACCCTGAAATGGGGCAGCAATGGATTTGTCTCGGAACAGCATCTGCTCTTTTCACCGCGATACTTTAGCTCAGGTTAGGGGCGGAATTGAGCGGAAAGTTCGGTTATATGATTACATTCTCGTTTCAGCCGGGACGAGGATGAGTAGAAAACCTGTGTCCGAATAAGTTGAATCCACCTTTTTTCTTATTGAAGCTGTCCATTTGAATGGACTTGCGAAGATGAGTCACTGGTATTTTATTCCATCCTCACGTCTCGTCACAATCAGGGATTGTATTATAAACGGGACTAATGCTATGCGGATCTGTGAAGAAGACCGGGTTCAGAGACCCAGCTGAGCGGGTGTCCCAGTGACGTCACACCGCGCACAGTGACGTCACACCCTGGTGACGTCACGGGGCGGCAGCTCGGGGGCCGGCCCGTCCCTGGCGGCGGGCGGGGCGGGTGGACGCGCCCGTGCCGGCGGCTGGCGGCGGCGGCAGCGGCGTCCAGTCGAGCGCCGACACCGTCCGCGTCCGTCCGCCCGGCATGGCTCCGACGCAGGTCAGTCAACCGTCCACGGAACACACACATACACACAATGCATAGCCTGCTTACGGCACGTGCACTTACATACACCGGTATGCGTCTATTACAAACTTATAAAGACAATCATTTCCCATGGTTCATTCACGCATTTGCTCGATTTTTGCGATTCACCTTTGCGTATTTTCATCTTTCAAGTTATACATGACCATTCATCCCTATCGCTTTGAGGGTCAGATCAGGATTAGGATTCGTTGCTGAGTCAGTGAACAAAACTGCATCAGAAATGACCAGTTAGATTACATTTATGCAATGGGAAATTATGCAAGCAATCAAGTGATTCACATGTCAGTCAGACAGCGGCTGGTCGAGGACACCCGTCCATATGATTTGATGTGTGCATCAATTGAAACAGGGCCGGCCATTCTTGACAGGAGCGCCGATAAGACATGTGAAACGTTAGCGAGCTTTGATGCCGGTCAGCCCAGGGTACTAAAGAGTCGGTCAGCCATCTTGATTGTCCCGCAATTCACCTTTGCATATTTTGATCTTAAGCTATACATGCCCATTGCCTAGAACAGTAGAACACCCTGCAGCCGCCTTGGCAATAAAAAAACTGGATAAGGGCGTACCGAATGCCGATGGGACACCAGCTTGTCCCTTCTTCATATGCTGAAAAAGATGTCACAATTGCCAGCGTCCAGCATCGACACATCCCCTTGTAGTGATTGATCATCCGGTGGTCGGCACGGCGGTTAGACGTTCCAGCTGAGAGAGCAGCATTGAGTGCCACCAGTCCAGCACATCCAGCCCTAGAGCCAAATTCGTGCTAAATGGTTTGTAAAAAAAAAACGGCATAGCCGAGTTCTGCCATTTCACAGATTTAGTTGCGCCAGGGTGGTTAGAAGATCAGCAGTAGCTGAAAATTCGATCGTAGAATACGGTACATATACTCGAATTGTAAGCTCGGACGGTGTAAAAATACCACCGAATGCCAAGCTGCTCTATTGAAGGAGAAATCAATGCCGTAAGTATATTTTAGGAGAGTGAGACAAATGAACTGGAACACACTGGTAGGGTAGGTCGTGCTTGCACGACTGTGCGATCAACTTTTTTGCATATGCATTAATTACAGGGCGATCGGCACTGTTGGTCTTAGCATTTTTTGGTAGAGTGGATGACTTGCAAAGCTAATTTTTATTTCAGATGATAGTTGAATGAGCACTCGTTTTGTCTAGTTATCCAGCTCAGCTCATTAGATGATCTTCTTTTATAATTGCATAGTTAACTGACAAGTGTTGAAGGGCTAACAAGGGTATCATTTCTGGCCACTCGAGATTCGCATAGCAGTGGCGTGCCACCTGTCAATATCAATCATGCACCTTGACTGATTCATCGTGCAGCCTGATACTACATATGTGAGCACCAAGTCACCCGAAGTTCCTTTAGTGCTCTCTGGCGCGTGGCAGCGCGGCGCGAGAAGTCAAATTTCAGAGAGCCACATTCTCAATTAGCAGGCACTGCCATAGACAAACCGCAATTATCTCCATAGCCCAAGAGCCCGCTTTATCACTGCTCCGTTAGGCTGCACTAAATGAGTGTAGAGCGGTCATTACATAAAGCTAGACATGTAACAGGGGATAAGTAGGGGTTCCGTTAGTGAACATCGACAGGCATGCATACATAGTATGTACTTGACAAGTGCGACCGGCTCTCCATAAAGTGTCGGGCGGTGGCGTGGCCCGGGGCAGCGGCGCCTTGCTCACGGTTGTAGTAAATCACGGTTCTTACATCAAAGCAGCACCGCCGCCAGCCGTGAAAACAGATAATCGGTGGAACGGTAGGCCCACATGCGCCCCTATAATGCAAATATGTTCCGGTGTGGACAGGAATATAAAATGTAATCATAGTCTAGTACACTTTATGCATTAATCAGAAGCCAAGTGGCAATTGTAAGAAGCATACAAACTGCCTAAGTTTCTCGGCAACTTCAACGCTGACTACGTCTGAGCACAGATCGCCGTCGTAGTCAATCTCTGCTAAATTACATCTAAATTCGTTCCGCTGTAATATGCATATTGCATAACCATCGGAAGGAAGAGAATATAACATTACAATGCAAGAAAGGTCACTGAACATAGCGATTAGAAGTTAAGAATTAGCCTCACTATCAGATGATGCACTGATGATCGGGAGGAGATTAGGTGCGTGAGGCTCGACACGGGCTGGACCTCAGATACGGCAGACTGTTGGTCAGAGGCTTCATCACTGATTTCACTGATTTAAACTCTCTCCCTAGCTGGGAGAGGCGGCCAGCGACTAAGGTGGGGGGGGGGAGAGATGGGCGATAAATGACAGACGGGGACTGTCCTGGCAGACGGGGCCGGAAGGGAGAAGAGAGGAGAGATGTTCGAAGGAGACATGAAAGCTAGCCGAGTGCTTTCGAAGGGGCTAGGCCGGTGGCCACCCAGAGAACACTCGCGGGCCACCGTTTATGTCTATATTCTGTAATGTAAGGGACCGTGAAACGTGCTAAGAATGCCGGACAAATATATTAAATTATATCACCCATGCCATGTCCGGCCACTCCGGACCAATCCAAGGGACAAGGAAGCTCCGTTATCGGATCAAGGGCACCCGCTTTGAAATTTGAACCACAAAAGGAATTTTAGATGATGAGATTGAGATCGGACGTCCAAAGGAGAGCATTTGGTGATCACATCAATCAACTTCGGAAGGCAAAAACTAAACTAAAAGAAAAACGATAAGAGACGTGGACGAACGATGAGGATTTCGCCTCCGTCTTATTCTGCTCGCTCACAGCTGCAGACTGTGGGCAGTGGGGTGTTGGGACAGTGCGGGCTTTGACGCCAGACTAGCGGGAGGCGCCGGCTGCTGAGGGAGCTGACGGGGCCTGGAGGTCGCCCGGTACCTCGCTGCACCGAGCCGAGCCCGGTCCGGTTCCTGGCTGGGCAGAGGTGACCGCGGCCACCGCCCACCGGCCACAGCCCATCGCGCGGCGTCACCGTTCACCGTCCATCGTTTGCCGTCTACATAATGTCCACTGCCCATCGCCCAGTCAGCGTCCAGTGTTCGCCGTTTTTGTTTGTTTTGTTTTGTTGGGTTAGGCCCTTTCGGTCCAATGGAACCATTTCAGAGCCGGGAGGATGACAGGATATAGGGGGAGACATTGGTCTGGGCAGGCACCCTAGTGAGTCGCCGGGGCTGAGCCCGTCCAGAGGACAGGCCACCCAGCCCCAAGGCACTCACTGCACCCGGCTACGGGGTGCGCTCCCTCGGGAGCAGCGGTGCCGCTCCAAGGGAGCAGCCCGCATGAGATAAAGTTGCCTGTCCAGCCCGGTAGGGGGTTGCGGCGTGGAGGAGAAGGATTTCTGTATCCTGAGGATAGAGGCACGGAAAGGTGAGTGTTCGCCGTCCCGTCCACTGCCTATATAGTGAGCCCACCGGCCACCGTCCATCACTCACCGTCGACCCACCGTCCACCGTCCACCGTTCACTGTCCACCTCGCTCTCCTACCGTCTGTCGTCCACCACACCCTTCACTGACTGCTGCCCAGTGACCTTCCGTCAAGTCCCATGCCGTCCACCGCCCTCCGTTCTTCAGCTGAAGGATTACTCTTGTCCTCGTCGGATCTGCAAATTTCAGTTCTGTAAATCAAGTCACAACTTCATTTGTCAAACAAGCTTATGAGGGCTGGTGTCTGCCTTGGATGACCTCAGCTTTGGCCTTTGGGTGTAGCTTTGGGAGGAGCCGGCCAATCTGGCACTCTATCGTCCTGCCTCATTGGCATGCATTGCAATGAATAACAGGTTATAAATTATTCATACCGTCTGACGTTATTAATTAAGATATAGCATTGAGACAAATACATTATCAATTTTTGCTTGTAAGTCAGGAGTTTATTCACGACAGTTGCCCTTTCCTGGCTTGTGGACGTTGTAACTCGTGAACATCACATACATCACTCCTTAGCTCATTATATCTGAGAAATAAGCACCTTTGAACATTTCGCGGACTCACATCGAAACGGCGCCTTCAACTTCACTCCTATCCGGCCTCACTCGCCGTTGAAAGGGTAAGGAGATGCGTTCTATCCGTGCCTTTGAAAGTTTCTCGGATCACTGAGGAAATTGGCTGTGGGGGAGGCTGGAATTACCGCGCGCTCGGAGGGTGGAGTGCCCGCCGCTTTCCGCCGCTCACCGCTCAGTGCCGTGATGGAGCTCACGTGCACCGGTGGCCGGTCGGACGCACGACGTGGCCAGTCCGGATGGGATTCACCCCCGCTGACCGGATACACGCCGGTGGGAGCTAGGTGCTGACTCACGGCGCCACCGGATAATTACCTACACGTGGGATCGCCAGCACGTTTACGGTGCACACAACATACGCTTAGTTTTTTTTTTTCAAGTGCACACAATTCTCTTTTTTATTGTTTTAAGCACATTTCTTGCTATGCCTAATCCATGGGGATGGGTGATTATGGGGTTCGCGCTAATGCACACTGCTGAACTAGTTAATGGGATTGAATTCGATTAACTTTTCTAGTCGCCCCTCTTCCATGAGCTGTTCTGTAAGCCCACATTCCACAACATTAGGACATCTCTGTGCCGCAGACAGAGACCAATCAACCAGTCATGCTGTGGACAGAGGGGCTCAGCTCATCCTTCAAGGTCGGATGTAATGACTGCCTGATTACAGAGCATGAATCGATCAGGGGGCCGCCGCCGGCACGGCGCCGATCATACTCCCGGCCGGTGCTATCGCGCCAGGCACAGTCGATAAACCGAGCCTGGAGCTGAGCATGGCCGCAGGGCGCCGCCGCATTATAATCACACTTGTGATCACGCTCATTGGGCTACCGAATCAGCCCCAGGCTGTAATCCATACACAGCCGGACACACTCAGTTATAAATATTCCAAACCCCGATAGAGACGATGTACTCGTATGTTTTCAGCATCGTAAATTGGTTTTCATGCGCAGGTCGCGTGCATGTAT